TTTCGGTTGCTCGTAGCTCGTGCTATTCCACTTTGACGTACCATCTCCAGTGTCTGCGGAGACAAGCGTCTCTTCGTGACTTCAGGACTCTCGACTTTCATAGCGCTAACGTGAAGATATTCAACAAGCCAGTCGTATATCGTCGATGTTGTCGACAGCGGTATCTTCCAAAGAGTCGACAAACGATTTGAATACATTCCATCTTATGGTAATTCCGAGACCTCGTTGTTCAAATTTAGCGGCTTTCTCTCCTTTCGGCGAAAAAGGAAAGATCACACGAAAGGCGATGGCTTGATCCTGTGTTGAGCTTAGGAGCAACAGCGACATAGGTGAGATAAAACCCGATTTGCTAGGATGCGGTTCATTTCGTTATGATACTCTTCATTGGAAGACTCCCACGTCCACTGTTGAGAGCAAGGCTTTGGAAATGAGAGTTAGCATGAATGGTTTTAGTCGTTCCGATGAACTCAGGTAACCTCTTACCCTGCTCATTCCATTCTAATTCATCGTTCTTCAGGAGTTCTTCTAGGTATAATTTTTGCATGAAATCTCCAACAATGACCTTGGAGAATATGTGGTCTTCACCGGGAAACTTTTTGTGGTCCACATAGAACGCTCGACTTCCTCTTTGTCATCGCTTGATCTTTATGCGTAAGCAGCGAAGATGGTTAGAGCCCGCACTGATCCACATCGTTTCAACAGCAATCGTCCGATGCGAGTTGCTTTTTTTTATGGATCGATTTCCACTGTGAACGCATTGCCACCGACACCCATGCGATCTCATGCTCCACAAAACATTCTTCTCCTTTGTGAAGAACAGCGTGAAGAAGATTGTCTTAGCTAGTCTAATGGCGTCGTACCTTATCTTTCTTGTCTAAATCGACAGATCTTCCACAGCGGATCCGTGAGCAAGTATTCGTAGGTAAAGAACGTCAATTTAGTCTGTTTCGATTTTGCCAGCCTAGCTTGGCCTGAGAAATAGCAGCCTCTCCGTACTCGCCCTACCCGATACTGCCGTATTGCAGACTTTCCGGGTTAGGAGATTGGAACTCATTTTAATTGCTGCTGCTAGCGTTTTCATAGTCAAAGTGTAACTTGTTGAGCTGTGAACGTGGTGGCTGGGTACTCACGAGTAACTTGCCAATCTCTCTGGGAGTAGTGAGAGGTGCTTATTTGTTGAATGCGACTCACAAGCGCCTCCCATGAACTTCCCAGCTGCTTAAACAGAGGCTTTTGCCCAGCTTGACTCGTGGAGGAGAGGTCTGTTAAAATTGCGCTGCGAAAGCAAGGAGCTCATCTCTTTGATCCAACTTCTTCTCTGGGAAGTGCATTATAGCTATGGTTAGCATTTAATTTCCCTATCCACCACCTGAGAACACTTCACGTACTCTCTCGACTAATGAGGCGCGATACTTGAAAGAGGGAGATCCATCATCTTTCTGCCTATCCTCGGGCTATAATGGCTAGTATCTGCGTTTATCTTCAACAGTGCCTTTAAATTCTGAGTAGGACTTACAACTTCCAAATATCCAAGCCTTCGACCCCTCATCACAAATTACTGCTCGGCTCCAGGCACTTCGGCACAGTTGGTAATCTGAAGGGTTAATGGGAGATCTGTGGATTGAATGAGAGATTGTGTTGAGAGAGATATCGATCCAACGTCTTGCTTATCACTTTCCTTCCTGATGCACTGCGCCAACAACCACTACGCTTTCTCGCCATCACGACAGCATTGTACAAAAAAATATAAAGATATTTGCAGTTTTATGTAAACTTATTAATAACATTGCTCACTTAATTAAATTACGGCATCACTTGCCTGAATCGCAACCAGCGATGTTAAACCTCTAATGTTAGAATTTCTAACGTTTGTGTATGAGCAAGATTACTTTCTTGATTAGACCGAGAAATATATCAAACAAATTTATTTGACAACTTTACTGCTCTTGTTATTTCTCGTGAAAGTTGTTTGCAGAGAACACAGTTCATCGTCGCTCACTGACACTTATTTAGCGGGATCGTTCACATATGCCTACGTGAGGACAATCAGTTAATGTCTTCCAACTACTCAAAGTATATTTAGTTGTGTACTATAGAGTGCTTGTTGATGCAAACTATAAAGCATTATTCCAACAGCGCCACCCAGTGTTGAAATTCTAAGCGGTGTTAAATATAGTAACTTTTTTCCTTGTAGACAGCTAAGGTCAAAGCCGTTTGTATCAGAGTAGCAGATGACATTTTTTTCCAAACTTGGCATGTGATTTACTGCCTGGAAGAGTAGATCCGAAACGTTCCATCAATTATTTCACCTTTTGTGCGTCTAAATAAAATTACGATTTCTCCTCAACATCTAGTCATTCGTTCATTTCGAGTGTTTTCTTAGACCACAGCTCAAATTTCAATATGCCTGATAATCATTATTTGAGCCACGCATGTCAGTGGTCTGTCAATGAGGGCTGACTTATAGGGCCCGATACACGTGTTTCGATCTTGCGATCTCGTCAGTCGGGCAGTTACCCTTTCTCGTCTTTGCTAATCTCTGTATGTGCTCCAGTCCCCACAATAAGAGTTAGTGACGTCGTACGTTTTACACTCTATGTTCAGTGAAGACTGGAGTACCCACAGAGATTAGCAAAAGACGAGAAACGATAACTGCCTGACTGACGAGATCGCAAGATCGAAACACGTGTATCGGGCTCTATAAGTCAGCCCTCATTGACAGACCACTGACATGCGTGGCTCAAATAATGATTATCTAGTCATTCGGCCTGTCAATAGTCCGTGACATTAACGAAAAGAATGAAATTTGATTATGGACAATTTTCACTGTGTCGAAGTGGAAACGTCTGCAACTATTCAGAACTTTTTTTTGCACTTTCTCACAAACACACAAAAATGACTGTTGTGAGATTACTCAGCCATGATCAAATGATGACTTTTCAATAATTAATTCTAGCCTGCAAATATGTCACTGTTGAATAAAAGTGTAAAAAAACATCACGTGTGAGTGAAAATTTGGAAATCGAAATTTAGTTTTGTGTGAAAGGATAGCCACTTTTTTATGAGAATATAAAGTAATATACATATATATACCTCAGAAAGTTGTGATCCTCTTTCAAGCTTACATTGCTCTCCACGGTAATGGCGATCTTCGTCAATGAGAGTAAGTGTGCATTTGATTTGCCATTCAGGAAGTATTTTGAAAACACTTCTTACTTAGGTTAGTTGTTATGAGATTGTTTAGTCTGCCATTTTTCGTGCTGCTGGGTAACAATGCTGATCGAAAAGCTGTTGATTGCATTAGTTATGAAAAATTGCAATAAAATCCAATGCGAAGTCGTTTTGTTGATTACTTTTCAAATGAGTTGAGAATCAGCTTTTAAAAAGACCATCATTAACTTGACCTTCAAATGCTCATAGTGTGTTATATAGCACACGCTGCGCATAGTATGTGAGCTATAAACGCGGGTGTCCTTGACTCATCCCATGAGATGAGGCTTGGCAGTTATTGACTACGTGTGTGCAACTTGCATAAAGGCGTAAATGTTTTTTTAGCATAATTCTCTCAATTCATCGTGGAGCGAAGAAAAGAAATCTTCCAAAACAAATCAATCGAGCCATTATTCCTTCTTTGCTGCAAGACAATACTCACTCACCGTCAGCTGAACTTTCGTACTCATCAAAGAAGTCTTCCCCTAGAAGAACTCTATATAAAGTTTGTGCCCTATAAGGTGTCGGATAACCACAAAAAATCTAGTGAAAAAGCTGCGTCCGGCGGGAAAGCTTGTGATGGGCATACGCACGGTCCGATACGCGTGTACCCAAAAGGTGCACTTCAATTAATAAAAGAAAAAGCAGTGATCATCTTGAAGTTTGGTTTCAAAAAACTAGACTTTAGATCAGCGAATTTACCCCAACAGGTGCCTGAATGCAAGTACAAGTTTACTTGACTGGTCAAGCTTATAGTACAAGACTTTGAATAAAAACTTCACTTTGATGACGTCTAGACAAATTCCGCCTGTCTCAGGGACAATGACTCAAATTGACTGCCCATTGTTTTTCATCATGGCTGAGCATCTTGGCATGCCCCTCGTCAAGTCGAACCTTCTTTGGTGGAACATAGCTCGAATGAAGAATGCCACTTTGCAGTCTTTTCGATTACAGAATAAAGCTTATGCTAACAAGCTGATAATTTTTATAATCACTCGTTATCTCTGAGAGATCTACCCTGCAAAGGTAGGTGCTATTAAAGGCTATTACAGAGCGCCATATTATATTATGAACCGATTTTCCATGAACCGCAACATAGCCAGTTTATATTTTCTCTAATGATTGAGCCTGTAGCACGAGGAGCTTTCAAGACAAGGGATTCACCGAATGAGGTCCCTCATCAGTGTGCTCCACCAGAGAAGGCACGAATCGGGTGAAACGATGGCGAACGGCAGAACTAGTGTCTCGATTCATCAGCTCTGAAAAGCAAATTGCGTCGAAACGTTAGCCAAATAAAAATCTTATCATCAACCTTGTTTCAAGAAAATTAAGCCGAGGTCAAAGAAAATCTCGATCTACAATATACAAGCAAACATCTTACTTCAGGCTGGACTCGAGCTCACACCTTAGCCTATAGTGGGGCGCCTACTCTAACCCGTTGCGCTACCGACGCCCGTTTTCCGCCACTCTTTCTACGCTACAATGCATCTATTTGTCAGCAATTATTCATCAACAGCTTGACTCGGTTAGTCGATATCGACATTGAACCCAGTCACGCTGATAGGTATTGGGTATTGGATAATCAAGCAGAAATCTTTCTATTTAATCGCATTCAGCGGTAGTGTGATGTCATAAGTATACCCACTGTTGTAAAGTGATATGCGAAACTTTTGCGCTATCTGTCAGCTTGACTGGGTTCAGTTCGATATAGACTGCCCAGCACAAACTGTTGACGGTTAATCGCTGACATATAGATGCATTGTAGCGTAGAAAGAGAGGTGGCAAAATAGGCATCGGTAAAGCTACGGGTTTGAGCACGCGATTTCGGATAGGTGAGACGTGGGTTCGAGTCCCGCCTGATGCAAGAGTTTTGCGCAGCACTCTGCATCATTGAGCATATTTATAATATCATACGGTTAAATGAAAGAATTGTGTTTGATCATCCAATGCAAGCAAATGTGAATTTTCTCAATTCCTAGATTGTGATTATGCCATAACTTCTTTCACAGTTTCACATTTGGTTAATTCGGTAGTTATTTATCCAAGAAAATTAGTTATCCAACAAAGTAAATGCCATAGTAAAGATGATATGTAAGAATCTGCTAGGCAAGGATTGGGTGCCTCTGTCTTAGAAGGATTGAGGCTGGCAATAAAAGAAGTAGGTGACTACACCTTGATCTAGCTGTAATCTTCGAATTTTTTACCGTAGGTGCTGTTTGAGGGCGTAGAAGAATGCTCGTCTGATGGATCAATATCAGTTGTAAGGTGGACGTAATACCATGGTCCATCACAGCTTCTCCAGACTGTGGCGAGTCAACTTCGCAATGTGAGATGGTCGACCAGTACATGAAGTGTGCATCGAGACATTCTCAGCGGGAACCTATTTCAATTAGATGGAGGGCGATGACACTACGGCCTTATCCGAGTGTCTGCCTACATTGATAGAACATTCCTCAATAAATCAAATCCTTTTGGCAATCAGACGATATAAAATAAATCTTACCCTTGCATTCGGCTATTTTTATGTCAAAGCAGTATGTAATCTGATAACATATCTTGAGCTTAACATGGGGTTTGTTAAATGGCACTTCTACAGTGAAAGTGCTTCGGCATTACATCCTCATCAGTAACACGCTGCCTTTCGGTCTAGTCAATCCCTTACAGGATTGATTGATCTTTATAGGCTCAAAAATGTTATTGGATGTCATAGAGGGCGCACGAAAAGCTCAGATAAATTTTCAGATATTCTAACGGTGAAAAGACTGCTTAAACAAACGACTTCATTTAGTTAAAGGAGTAATTACGCGCATTAGATCAATAATTATAACAGCAAACAAGAATTATTGCATAAAGATTTTCAAATTACCTCCTTTATATACATTTACGAAGTCGTTTGCAAAGATTCCAGCGACGCTCGCACACGTTCTTACCGCAATTTCGTCCCGAGCGCGTGTCAAAGCCGTCTTAAGCACGTGCATGTTAGTGTATCGAGTAGCCGAGGCTTATTCTTCTATTATAGACCACATAGAAGTAATTCACTGGGTTGAGACCATGGGAGTATGACGGCCAAATGTTCTTGCCAAAAAGCCTGGGAACAGCTTCTAACAGATGGCCATCGTTGAACGGACCGAATGAGCAGGAGCACAAATCTGCTGGAGCGCAAAACCGGCGGCGTTGAAGCGTTGAGTACTCCAAGGCTTAAATACGCCCCGCAGAATTTGTTGGTGATAGCTGGCAGCGATGATTTTGACGTCTATGTTGATAAGCACATCGGCGTCAATTCGGTTCACACAAATGCCTGCTCAAACCATCACAGAGACCGATAACTGTTTCCGGCTCACGGCTTTTGCTATTTCGCACTTCTCCTGACCTTTCATGAATATCGATTCTGGAGAATGTGGATTGGTTCGACCGTACTTATCTTCTCACTCTTGATAACCACTTCCCATGGAGTAGATACCCGAGGAACTGAAGGAAAGAAAAGGCATTGTGCAACTGACGAGGTTGAAAAGTCGAAACACGTGTCCTGCACTATAAAAGTGTCCTAAGCAGACCTCAAAGAGGGTCAAGATACATTATCATTTGAGCCACTTATACACCAAAGTGTTCGCACGAAAATGTGCAATTGAAGGGTACCAATATCAAGCAATAAATCACGTTTGGATCAAAAACCTGCAAATTAACCTTTTTGCAAGTAGCGTTTCTCGGGTGCAAAAGTCGCTATCTTCAAAGCCCTACAAAAACCGTTGTACAAAATATGATTTTTTATGGAAGTTCACAAATGTTATGTCTACTGATTTGCTTCGCAGCGTTACATGTTTTAGATATACCTATAACCTACAAGCATTAAGTGGTTGTCAAAAACTCGACCTCAGAAGGAATTAAAACCACGTTTCTCCCATACCTGATAGGGGGGAAAGGGGGGGGGGGGGGAGCGTGCTACAACTACACCACCGAGGCCACCGCTTACTCACCACTTATCAACATCGCTCTATGATCCCAGTTGAGCTGACAGACAGTGTACTATACATACCCTCAATTTCTTATGCTTCTACTGGGTTTTTTCTCCTTTAGCGAGAAGAAAACATTTATGTTGCCACGCGCATATATGTCGCAAGACAAAGGTCTTTCTCAAACCAATAATAATATTCCATAGAGTTCAATTCAGCGACTTAATGCTGTGCTTATTTTCTGAAAATGTCGTTTCTCCACAGTGCAGCAAAAAAATCAAGACTGATTCGCATAAGCAGGCATGTGTTTTTGACTAATCTACGAGTCGAGAGCGGGACTCAGAGGAATGTCCATGGTTTCAACTCGGTCATCGATCGATGGGGCTTTGGCGGGTTACATGTGAAATGCATTTTTTGGTATTCAATTATCATTTGTTCCTCCGCTTTGGAGGAAACTACAGGTCAAACGTATAAGTGTGATACTGCAAGACTATCTCTACACAATCATATGTTTTTGTGCTTCCAGCGAAGTGATATTGAAGTTGAGCGGACAATGTAAAACATGATATCAATTCGAATTTCACAGCCTTACAAACTGTGTTTCCAAAAAGCGGCTACGTAGTGCAGTAGCTAGAGATTAAAGCTTCCATTATTATGACTCCTTGCCTAGTGAAAGGAATTGATTTTTCATCCCATGCTAGCAAACGGAGAAAAAGAAGAATCATTTATTAAAATCATATAAATAGATAGCGTTTCTGACACACTCACAGATAAAAAAGATTTGTACGCCACTACTTAGATAGTATTACAGCAAAAACGGCGTAGTCACATTTGCACACCCAATATCTTCTCTTCGACTGCTTTTGAGACCTCACTCAAAACAATATAATCTGCAGACATATTTTGAGTTTTCCATGAGATCCAATAAAGGCACTTATACAGTGATATTATGCGGTAGAACAAAAGAGTGGTTTTGCGAGATAAGTTTCATCAGCCACAAGCAATCGACTGCAAAGCACTATACGATGGTTGGTCCTCTCATCTTATGGCACTGTAAGTTGTTTGCCGTCGTTCCTGTATAAGTGGCAGGTCTCTGTTACAAAGGATTGGCTGAAACAAAAGGCACCGTGCAACTGATGAGGCTGAAAGGCAGCAGCACGTGTCCTGCATCATACCATTACCAAGAAGATCTGTTGAAAAGCTCGGAGTATGTTATCAGATTACATTGTTCCGATTTTTTAATGGGAAGTGGAAGCCTTCCCGAATTGATAAAACGGAAGACACCGTGCTACTGATAAGGCTGAAAGGTCGATACATGTGTCGTGCACAAAATAAATACAGTAGCAGATCTCATAGAAGGCGCGGGATATGTTATCAGATTATATTATATTGAGCGAGATCTCGAAAACAGTCTGAAAAAAGCTAATATTTGTGCACGGATTGTTGTACACTAAATAAACAAAGCTCCACTAGCCCCCTTATTTGCTTAGGACGTCTACTGCGTACAGATTTTCTATTTTCGAGATACATACGGTAGCATCTAGCAGAGCAACAAAGACGGAATGTCATTCTTAGAAAAAACTTTGAATATTGGATTTTTTCTTAGATGATTCATTCATACAACCCTTCTAAGAAGGCACAGTTAGTGATCTGCATAAGTAATACATCAAATTCAAAATCTTGAGATAAGCTTCTTCAATAAATTCAATGCTTTGGATAAGCACACGATTTTAGAAAGTAATCATTAATGATTCAGAAATTGCAATGTTTTCGACTTTAGAGGAAACGGGAGTTTCGCCGAGGAGATTACCAAAGTACGGGCATTTTGCGCAATATCAGCCACTTCAACTTACAGTCCAATACAAGATCTAAGATAATTATCAAAATACAGACACACAAAATACTCTTTCGACCATCTCTAATAAATGGAGCAAATGAAGATTGTTTCAGTGGTAGTGAGGAGAGCCGTTAAGATTGATTCAAATGAATGTGGTATCACATTCGCCATCGTATAGTTATACAGTTTGCTATCTTGGATTATTGAGATTTAAAACACACCTCGCGAGTGATAGCTCACACAGAAAAATGGACGGAGTTCTCTATGCAAGTAAACAAAAAATAATCTATCATTGCTCGAATAAATGTTATATTGGATCAAACATTTAATCGACACTTATGAATGCCGTCGTTTTTCAAAAATTCCAGTCTCTCTGAGACTCATCAAATCACCACCCAAAGTCAGCTAAGCACCAGTATCATTTTAGAATTGCTGCAATGACACTGGCCTTAAGTAGCGAAGTTACTATACAGGAATATCCTTTGTACTGTCTTTTCAGTCAGCTTGCCCTGCATCAAATAATCGAAGTGAGATCATCATTTCTGGCTTATCTCAAACATTCCAATCATCAAATAGACGTCACTCGTTACTCCCCATGCACATATTCGATTGAACAAATTGCTTTACTCCACTGCTAGATGTACTCGATTTCAAAAAAGAAATTCTAGTCACTTTCATGAACTGAGGTTATTCTGTAATGTTTCATGGCATGACTCTGGTTTCGTATACGAAGATGGTGGGCGTCCAAAAATTTCATTAGCCCATTTTGTTATCGCTCTCATCATCTGAGCAAATTTTGATGTTGTTTCAGAAGATGTAGTGATTTCATGCAGTAAAGTGTTTGGAAATGGCAGTTACACCTGTTCCATATTCATACATCAGTGTGCTTAAAAATACCATTTCGCAAACGTTAAACGAATTAGCATCTCTCTGACGGCTTTCGTAAGTTTAGTCAGTTCTGCTCTAACGCAAAAATTTGACGTAAGAAGAACACCATCATATGTCTACCTCTGTAGATTATATAGGACTCTTCGTTTCTTATAATTCTAACATCAAGAATTAAACTATACAATTTTC